ATTTGGAAGACTTCGACTAACTAACTACCTAGGTAGGTAGCAACCAGCCTACCAAAGCCTCCAATAGGAGTTGGCTGAGCATTTCCTTCACGTATTTACTGACCAAGACAAGGCGTTTTGCAGGTACCTCAACTACACTGGCCTACAGGCTGGGGGATAGGGAATCAATTCGTGTGCTATACATACTATGCAGTAGACAACATACGCTCCTCAGGTCCAAAAGGCGACCAGGTGTTCACAGACATCATCTTTACAGGTTGATAGTCACTGAACCATTATCGAAAAAGAGCCGCCAGTCCGCCGTTGGTCTTCATTGTGGTATTTGATCGAGCTGATCTGATCTACCTATTCCTCCAGCAGCCATGACATAGAGCATAAAAGTACAAGCTTCGGGATGCGATCAGCACAGCATGATACAACATGTTGTTACAAGGCCTATTTCTTGCCCTTCTTCCGGCCGGGAACTACCTTGAAGCCTGCTGCCCCAACGGCATCGTTCTCCTTGACCTGGCTGCTCGGTCCGCCCTTCTTGGCCACCTCAGACCAGCCTCCGCCTGTTGAGCTTGACTTAGCCTCGTTGATCGGTGTTGGCTGCTTCTCAACTACGCCCTTGTCCGCGAGCTTCTTGCGGCGGATGAACTCTTCTGCGAAGTGTCGGCCGTCCATCGTTGTCGAGTTGGCGTACACCGCTTCCGAGATGATTTGCTGGTCAAGCGGCAGAATGAGCAGTGTTGAGGCAAACGTGTCAACTATTATATCCAGGTCAGTTTATGCTGTAGAAAGATGGCACCGTTGCAACCCGTTCTAGTATAGATGCCAGGAGCTCACTTACTATCAATACCACCAGTGATGCCTCTCCCAAGCTCGCGATGCAACCACTTGCTGAATTCCTCCATTGCCACGCCACCGACATCGCTCTTAGCAACTCCAATGGCTGGCTTGACAGCAGGCCTGACAGTTGGTGACGAGACAGGCTTGATGTTGGCTGCAGTAGCAGTTCTCGCCTGCGCTGCTGGTCCCGTGGGGACCTTGACCTTCCCTCCGGCTCCAACAGTTGCCCAACCGCTAGTCGTGGCTGCAGCTGTACCTGGAGCAGCACCAGCAATTAGGCCAGGAGGGGCGCCAGATTTCCCCGCAAGATCAGCGTATCTCTTGCCCAAGTTGCTGGCAACTGGCGCCGAGCCGCTCTGCGTTGCCAGCTCCCTCGCCTTTTGCTTGCGGACCTCTTCTTCACGCTGGATGTCAGCGAGTGTCTTCTTCCCAAGCCCAGCGGCGACAGTGGCTGCCCCGGTGACCGCAGCAACCGCAGTCTTGGCAGCTCCAGGTTTGGCCCAAGGACTCGCCGCCGTGGTAATGGAGACAGGGGACCCACTGCCCCAAGTACTAGTTGTGGGCAAGCCAGGATTGACTACCGAAATCTTCTCACGCTCACGGGCGGCCGCAGCTTCCTGCTCTAGGGCGGCACGGCGAGCAGCAGCAGCAGCCTCTTCCGCCTTGGCAGCTTTCTTTGCTTCAGCCTCTTGAATCTCCTTGAGGCTTGGCCCTTTCTGAGCCTCAGAACCGGGCTCACGCGCCCAGGGGGCTAGCGGAGGCGGTTGAGCAGCTACCGCGTGCGCAGCGGCACTGTCAGGGGTTTCAGATTGAGAACGGCTTCCCGCATACTGATCTGGAATGTTGGATCGTCGTTGAGCAGTCGGCGCGGGCAACGGAGTTGTCGAAGAGGGCGGCGGTGGCGGAAAAGGCATGGGCAGTCCAGATGCGGCAGCTTGTTTAGCCCAGGCTTCATCGGCCTGGACCTGCTTCGCAGCCGCAGCCGCAGCCTGCGTCTGCTGGACTTGTTGGGTTAGAGATAGCGCTTGCTCAACAGCCTTCTGGGTCGCTTCCGATCCATCCAATCTAGTCACCTCACGGATGATATCGGCTGCCTCGGCCTGGGCCGCATTGGCTGCACTCTCAGGTTCCTCCTCGATCGACCCAGTGACCCCCAAAGGACCCGCCTGGGCTTCCTCGGCGTCGCGCTGCGCGCGGATCTCCTGGAATTCCTTCAGTCGTGCTCTGAATCCTTGCGAGTCCTTGTGAAGTTGGTCGACGCCAGGGAGCTGGCTTCTGACGTCTGCTGAGGGCGCACCGACAGGCTGAGACGGATACATACCAGAGATGCCACTAGGTCCATGAATGCCAGCCAGCATTTGGCGCTCTTGATCACTCAGCTCTCCGTGGAGAGCTTCAGGCCCACCCTGGCCGGAGCCTTGGCTCATGTTGGACGGTTGTTCGAAAAATCCAGGCGTGGGACCAATAGCGCCGATTGGGGGTTGCGGTGGCATGCCGATTGGAGATGTCATGCTGCCGAAGCTGGGCTGGCTCTGCAGGCTATGAGCACTAGAGTGGTGATGCAAGGCACCTGAGCCACCGCCCGCGGCCTGTATCTGCATCTTGGCGAGAGCTTGTTGCTGCGCTAGATACTCCCGTTGGCGAGCCATCATGTACTGCTCCTCTTGCTTGCGCCGCTCAAGATTATTCTGCTCCTCAGCCGTCAGGGTCCTTCCGAAGCTTGGTATAACGCCCATCAGAGGAGGGATGACGCCGCGAGCGTCGCCAGCGGAGAAAGGACCAGCTGCGCTCGGGGGCCCATGAGGAATGCCAATCTGAGGAACAAGAAAGGGTTCGCGAGAGTTCCCAATCCGTCGAATGAGCTGACCCAATGGCTCAAATTCGGTATCTTCAATCTTCTTGACACGGAGATCAGCAGTGAAGAAGTTTGCCTTGTACCAATCGTTCATTTCCAGGCCGGTGAATGGGCCTTGCATCTGCCCCTGTGGATCGAGGTACACCCATCTCATACGATCTGGCATCACCATGGTGCGGGCTTGAGATGGAGGGAGATCAGCTGTGGCAGGAAGGCCAGCCGGGAAACCTGGCGCACCGGATGTTGCAGGCGTGAAACCGTGAGATTGGGTGGCGGTTGCCGTGAGTGCAGGATTCTGTTCACCCGTAGTGAAGACGCCAGGCGACCTGGCGGACTCGGATGAAGCGAAGAGTTCTTCGAATGCACCTCGACCGGCGCGCATGGGACTGTCAGTGTCGCGAACCTGACTGCCTATTGCACCTCGGCCGATCGCCCCCAGAGGATTAGTCTGCCTCAGATCGGGGACGGAGTCACCCAAGGATTCTTGATCTTGCGATTGCATTTGTGCCTGCATCGCAGCTGGGAATAAAGAGCCCAGCTTGCTTCCGCGGATGGAACCAGACCCGGCTAAGCCTCCAGCGCTGGCAGGCCCAAACATACCACCCAAACCTCCCAGGCTGGGAGACTGAAGATCACCTATAGGACTGAAGAGAGAGCTTCCAAAAGGATTGGCAAAACCAGGCCGATCACGATCAGGGGTCGATGTTGACGGTCCGGTAGGCCAGCCAATGTTACCCAGGGCAGGATAGCCCTTGGCACCAACACTGGAAGTCTGGCTACGGTCGCTTCCATCAAAGGTATTTGCCGGGAAGCCACGGCCGATGGAGCCGAAGTTTGATGCGTGCTCCGCATGCGTACCGCTGATGTTCATCTTGTCGAAGCCAGCCTCGTCACGCTCGTTATCGCTACGTTCAGCCGGAGGGCTTCGGTAAGGGTTGGTCTGTGAAGGACTCGCAGTGCCGTGCTCGTCTCCTCCCAAATGAAGGCCTGACATGCCAAAATCACCAGCACTTCCCTTGACGGGTGTGTCATAGGAAAGGGGCGGGGGGCTAACATCCCTGTCTGCTCCCAGAACAGCGCTGCCTGAAAGATTGTCATCTCCTCCAAAAGGATCTGTGTCCGTTCGAGGACGAGCTCGCCAGGAGCGGCCAACATCCCCCACCGCACCCTCTCCAGCTTTGCCTGCAATGTTCTCCGAGCTGTCCTTAGGCAACAGGTGGGCCAGCCGACTCTCGCCGCGCGTGCTTCCGAATCGCTTATCGCCGATGTTGGAGGCTGGAAGAGAGAAGTTCCCGAAAGCGCCCAGGCCCGACGTGCCAGAAGGAGGAGCTGGCGCCGTCGCAGATGCACCCCAGGCAGATGCACCAGCAAAGCCAGTGCTTCCCGAGGTGTTGCTACGCATGAGACCGCCTAGGGGTCCAGGCTTTGCCGGTAGCTCACGCGACGCTGCTATATCCTCCTCTGACTCGTCTACCATATTCTCTTTTGTGTCCGTACTCTTCCGTCCGAACCATACCGAGGAGGGATCTTCGCGCGGGAAGCGACCGGTACCAGTGGGCGAAGTCAATCCAGCGCTAGGAAATGGATTCGTATCGGTTGTTTCCCGTCGTCGAGTGCCAGGGCGCGATGCGGTAGATGGTGAGGACAAGCCGTAGTTACTGCCGTGAGACACGGATGTCTTCCTACCGTTCAAAGCGCCCCCCTGCCCACCGTCCTTTACCTGCTGCTGCTTCAATGGCGAATTGACGTCGACGGCAAACATCTACAGTGCGGAAAAAGTCAGCCAATATGATCGCTAGACTGCAAACGTGAGTCACAGGGTACGAACCTCTTTCTCCTCCGGGGACATCTCCTGAAGTCCCAGCGGAATCATGCTCCCGTTATTGTCCCAGCAGACGGTGGGGTCTTGCTGTGGATGTGCATCATTCGGCTTTCCCCAGCTCCGTGCGCCGCTCCCATTCAGTTGTCCGGGCTTCCAGCCGGGTAAGAACAGGGATGCAACGTCAATGTGGTCCGGATCTTGAGACTTGTAGATGTGCAGTAGCTGGTCCCTCGAGTAGCGATTGGCGGATGTGTCGAAAGCGCCCGGTGTAGGCGGCACATTAGGAGTCGGCTGCTCTTGGGTTGGGGTTTGTAGCGGCGCGTCTGATGTGGACTGGGTGGCGGATGGGTTGAAGGGAGTCGTGGAAGATCGGCGGAATGTCAGGGTACCATTAGAGCGTCCCTCACGTCGTGACCTTTTGCTTGCTAGTCAGAAAAAAGGGTCAAGTCGCATGAAGAAGGAGAGGTCAAAGCAGAACATAGAATGTGCGAGCGACAGTACAAGAGCAGATACAGTTTATAAACTACGGCATTGCAAGGCCTCGGTGTGTCCTCCCGGACATCAGAACCAGAAGCCATGATCAAGATGTGATGGTGTCTCGGCAGGGATTGGGGGCAGGCCCGGGCGAGAACCAAGGGCACAACTCAAATGCAAGCCGAACGAATACACCAGGACGAGACAGAAAAATAGAAAGACAGAAAGCAGGAAGGCTGATCGAGTCGAGCCGATCGGGTCGAGTTGAGATGGAATGAGGCATGAACTCACCATTCCCCGCTGCCGCTCCCTCGAGTCTCTCCTCTCCCGCTTGTACTGTCGCGATTCGCGTTTTGACCCGCAGCGGCGGAGGCGAAGCTGGATGGCAGATTTGTGGAAGGCATCATGGAGAGATGCTGTGTTCTGTGGGGGGGGGTTTCGAGGCTGCGATGTTTCCTATACAGACTGGCGAGGTGTCGTCTTCCGTCGCGGAGGGAAGATCAGACACAGACAGATGAGATGGGGATCCTTTCGCTTCAGATGGCTGTTGCTTCAAGAGTACGAAAGGAAAGGAAACAAGATAGGCGAGATTGGCTCTGCAGGCTGTAGAGAGATGCAAAGAAGATTCGTGTGTGATTCGTGTCGGGTTTTTTGGTATTTTCTTCTTCTTTGGATTGTGGTGGTGGTGTCAAGGTCGACGTGGAGGGAAGCTGGATTTTGGTGCTTGAAAAATCAAAGTTTCCAAAAAAGACCAGACAGACGTGCCTTCCATTTGACGTGGTGTAGGTGGACTGGAGCTAGGTAGTTCACCTTACCTACCTTAGGTACTTAGGTGGTCTCCTAGTGTGTGAGGCCATGGAGGTACCCTAAGCTAAGGCCAGAACACTTCTCCTTGCACCTCCCGTAGGTCAGCTTGGCCCACATCAGCCCAGGTACCGATTGTCTGGTGAGGGATTGTGAGCTGTCCAAAGTATCTTTTCTTTAGGACACATCCTTCTCAGGCACCTTACCTGCAAGCTCTTAGCTAAGGTACTTGTCCAGCCTCACCTTCTTCAAACAATATGACTACCAATTGTCACTTTGAACCTTGTAGGATTCATCTCCTGGCAATGATGGCTAATCAATAAGGCAATCACAGATCTTTTTCTCATTGCATGAGTTCCTCCTGCAGATCTAAGGTACCTAAGTATGCAGGGGACTTGATAAGGTTCTACAGCTTGCCTCCCTTCCAAAGTTCAGCTCCCTTTGTAGTAATAGAGCTGAAGGTGCCTCAATTCGGTTGCTTACCTAATCTACCAATACAGACAAATTTTCAGTATCTACCTACTGAGTTCATCACACAATTCTAGCTAATAAACAGTTATAATAGCTTTCAGAATCATCGCTAGGTAGTATCGTTGCTGAGTAATAAACATGTGGCTTTGTACTTCCACCTCCTGCTACCTGACTGTCTCCTTAGATCCTTACCTTGCACGTGCATCTCCACGTGACTGCCCCTTACGGCACACGCCCCCTATTTAAGGAGTTTCCTAGAATCGCAGACTATCTCTTGCGTCAACAATCCGCAGTCCATAGACATACAGCATGATATAGTGAGTTTTGCTAGTGGTAGGCAAGGTACCTACATAAGGAACCGTCAGCTAAGGTCAGAGAGCACCTGCTCGCGTCTTTTAATTCAGCTCGGTGTCATCCCTTTGAGTGCCAAATCGGCGCCCTCCTTTCTCCGTATTCCGCAATCCCTGGTATCTGGGATCTGCCTGGGATTCACCATCAATAGTTAAGAAGATAGCAGGGGATCGCGGAATACGGAGAAAGGGGGGCGCCGATTTGGCACTCAAAGGGATACAGTAGGTAGGTAGCGTACCGGCTATAGCTGGCTCTGAGTAGCACTCATTAGGTGAATGTCTGCCACAATCTTGCCGACACTTTAAAAAAGCCACCAATGAAATACGTGAGCGAAGACTTCCCATACCACGATCAGTCTGCGATGCCCCTGTCAACATGCTGCCAAAAAAATTCGACTCGTTGCGTAGCAGGTAGTGTCTCATGCCAAGCCCGCGGTCCTTAGTCTCGAGTAATCTTTTAATTCTTTCTGCGAACTCACCACTGCCGAGGCGAGAAGTCGACTCACATCCCGTGAAGATGATGGCAAGTAAGGCGACGAAGTAAAGAAGGCAGCTAGGCTGAGCCCTCGCACCACCATCCAAGCACGGCCGCCGCCTAAACGAGAGAGGTCTACTCACCTTCAGTAATGAAGAATCTCACCACCCCTACCGGAATTTCCGATCTCAAACTCACAGATACCAGTGCACACTACCTAGTTGAGGACAGTCGATTAAGTAATGCCTAGGAGGCACCTTTGTATTTGAAGCCAACACTAGAACTGGGTTAACTGCTTCAATCGGGCTGCAATCACTCCACTTGTTTATTTGTAAGTTTTATTAAAGCACTATCGCGAGGAATGACTAAGTACTAGTCATGCTATGTAGTCCATTTGCAGAGCGATTGCCGCCTTGCCTCATACTTCACGGACTGGTAAATTCTTGTCTGTTAATTGCACGCGTCTGAGCTTCTGTGCTTTGACATGCCATGAGCAAAGAGCTCCGAGGGCTCAACCTCAGCGCAACTCACTCCTACTTCGGCGGCCTAACCGGCAATACTCACTCTCTCGAGTCTCAAGCTACCTTCTATCGGCCACTCAAGTAAAGGCGTAACGATGATCACCAGAATAGCCGGCGAAGCAGGTCATGAAGCAGGAGAAATCACGCTGGACACGCAATTCAGGACTTTCGGTTTAGTGCTCAAAGTGGGATCCTCGATCACGAAGCCGTAGAGGTCGGTGGTAGAGGTCGGTGGCAAACCGAGAGGTCGAAAAGGAGGCAGAGGCGACTTTCTGCGCACGACGACTTACCTGCAGAGCTTCCTGAAGTTATAAATGTTACTCGGACCCGTCACAACCTATACTAACACTGTCTTCTAGTGTGGCTACTGCTACTATTACTCTCTTCAAAGAGCCGAGTTCTCGGATCAACAGAGTGAATTCGTCACGAATGGCAGTCAAAATTATGCTTAGGTTACGCCCAAGGCTGATCTGCTCCTCAGTGCCGCCCCCAGTCTGTGGAGGGGAAGTGACGCTGCTTATCCACGAAAGCCGGGCACGCCCGAGTTTTCCGGGACGTCTCCACGAACAAGTGTACGGCGCATGAAGGCATGAAGATAAGCAAAGGGAATTTCAAGTAAGGGGCAAAGTGCCTAATTTTGACCTGGTCACGTCGATGGTTCGTGGGAATGGCTTAGAGTCGTGAGGTCCTCGTGAGGTCAATCGCAAGTTCAAGAGTCACGTGAACATTCCCGAGATCTTGTCATTACTGGGGTAAAGGACTTTGAAAGGAGAAGACTCGTAGATCGTGGTTGTTGCTGGGCCAGATGGTTTTACGTCCTTGAAGGTGGATGGTCGTGGTGGCTTTCAAGTAGCGTGTGAGACGGCACAGTACAACACGCCGGAAGCAGGGACCAGGTCAGGGAGAGCTTGTACGTCCCTGGGTAATTCGGTGCGTAGAGCCCACGGAAAAGGCACCATTCATCTACCTGAGGTAGAGGAGATTGGCCAAGAACCTGTCCACCAGCCTACAGCCCATGCAGATGGCCTGTCCCGAACAGAGGTACGTCTAAGCTTGTTAACCGAAGACTTCCGCTTAAAATTATTTGCTGACTGGTGTCACCAGAACCCACATTCGGATCTGAAATGAGGGCTTATTCTCTTGAAATGACACCGAAGTCTATTCTGCTCAAGATTTTGAGCATCGATGTGTTGTACGTCAAACATTCTTCGCGCTGAACCATCGATGATGCCTATCGATCCATTTTCCTAGTCTACCTCCCTAAGAAAGGTAAGGTAGGTACCATCTGGACCTCAGGGACCGATCAGGCGAGCCAGGGTATAGCTGCCTAGGTCCGTCGTTATGGCCAGTACATAGGTATATCCGAGTCCTGGGGTCCCGGGGTTCCGTTTTAGGTCGTGATACTGTAATATGATTGGTTCCGACTTTGCTTAGCGCATGGAATACTTAGGTAATCTCACTTAAGGTTTTTGAACCAATCATATTCACTCACTCAACACCTCACCGAACCTTAACACCTGGGGTATGCACCCCGCGATATCAATGTTTGGTCCCGTCTCG